ATCGCTAGAGTATTGCATTGTACCATGCCAATAACAAATGTAAGTTCACTTTATTAAACTGATTGCGCGTGTGGTATCATGGTAAATATTTGAAAAGATCACGTCCTGAAAATTTGATGTTAAGATAACAATTATATATATATGCGCGAAACAACTCCTCACTGAAAATGCCAGGTCTGGAAAAATTCAACTAAACTGGAAAAATATATTCTGTGATTAGTGATAGTCGTTTGTGTTTCGTGTGCTTTATAAGCAGCTGGTCGAAAGAATGTAAAACGATATTTTCGACCAGCTGTTATAGGTGGTCGTATCATGTATGGCTCGATTTTCCACCGTCAGCTGCTTGTTGCACGATGACGCGTAGCGATAGCTACTAGATTTCCGAGGAAAGAACAAAAATAACGAGAAACGACGACAACAGCAAAAGAAAAACGCATAGAGACACGTAATAGCTTCTTTGCATTCATCCACATAGTGTATTAAACCACCGTCATATAAATGTGATTGACAGAGCTTGTTTAAACAAATTACGATCACTACATCTATGTTTTCATATGTTATAGGGAAAAATAAACGTACTGAGCTTTTCGGATAAAGGAAATCGGATCTCAAGCTTTGGAATAATGATCAGTTTTTCCCTCTGCTCAGCTCTTTGTTATGTCACTCGGATGGACGCCGAAAAAACTGTTATTATCACACGAATGCTGATCTGGAAAACACAGAATATTGTTAATAGAAGGAACGACAGCAAGAAAATGGAAGCTAACAGAGAATCGACAATAATGAAAGTCATCACAGACTTTCATCTCATATAGCTAAAAAAAAGATCAAAGAAAGCTGCGCATCTTCGGTCGACTCACAGCAACAGGTTAGCAATAACTTGTACAATAAGCAGGATTGGCTAATTATAAACAGTGAAACACGGGGCTGGGAAGACATCCGAAACAAAAATTCGGGAAATCTTTCTTTTGTAGTACGTTAATCTCGTCAGCATCAGAAGACATGCTGCTGTTATATTTTGCCATTTCGATTACTAATTGCTGTTTGTATAAGACAAATGAACAAATCGTACTACATCTCACATGTGCATTAAATGATAAAAAAAAAAAAGACAGCCAGTAAGGGCTGTAGCGAATGGCATTCAATTTTCGCGTAGAGTGTATCCGTCAGATTTTTTCAGTCGGGTTCAACGGCAGGTAGACAAATTTCAATAAATGTACCCATCTGAACAGAAAATGGCACGGTGTCAAATATTCAGGTGCTAATGTTCGAGTCCTTTTTGTCTCGTAGACAGAAATACTAAATTAGCATTCTTTGTTAATTATTAGCAGAGTGTCAGCATGCACGATGCAATTATGTTAGACATGGGTAAAACGAATTTTTCGTGACGGAGCAAAACCTGTTAGATTCAGCCTCACATTTTCTATCCAGCATTGAAATACAGAGCCACTCGTTAACACTAACATTCAGAACTGAATCGAGCTCTTGCACAAATTGCCGATTCACAAATAAAATTTCGTAGTTAAAAAGAACAACGTTAATTTTGTTGGGCTTAATTATACGGTGGAAATACACAACCTGCTCGACGAGACCGCAGTTGATAAACTGCGTTTATCAAGTTCTGTGGGTTGATATTTTAGATGGAAATATAGCGCACAAACATATAAAATATCTGACAAGGTTAAAATTGCTGCAAATGAATAACACAGGTAATCACGGCGTAACGATATATTAGGTTATTCAGAAACGAACCATTACAAAAAGAAAGTTGAACTTGAAAGTTTCAAATCTTGCAGAAGACATCTTGTGAATGAGCATAAAAACCGGCCCATCTTAAAATGGACAGCTGCTAGCGTTCAAGTTGTAAAGATACCGTAGTTGTCAACCTCAGTAAATTAATAAAATAAAAAATTCGGCAAATGGGTTACCGCATGATTTTAGCGAGGATCAAAAACAGGAGTAGACGCTCTAATCTTCGTTTGCTCTCATCATACAATAGTGACCCGTTATTGTGAGTTGACGAGAAGAATGGCTCGTCAGCAATAATCACGGACAGTCACATGAATGTGTGAACGCAATTGACCCGGCTAGATATTACCCTAAAATAAATGCACAGCTGCAAAAGCTTGTGGTCTAATCGTCTAGTATATCCCGCACTAAATGTTATTGACTTTAGCTTTTAAGCGTCGGTTCGTCGATTAAAGCTGTACTGTCAATGACTATAGGAGATGGTGGAAAAGCTTTTGCGTTAAGTATCCAAGATTAGCGAACCACCCCTTATTGCGCGACCTCACACCCTAAGAATCACCGTGGCAAGCTCCCATTTTTCGACTCTATATCATCTAGCGTATTCGCCAGACATTGCTGCCGTAGACTTTGCCGTTTTTTTTAATCTCGACGATATCTTAATAGCAAAATAATTCAAATCTAAACGTCATGTCGGAGCCACCTTTTAAGATTTCAGCAGATGGCGGAATAAGCTGTCAATCAAATGATAGAATTTCATGCGTAATAATCGTGTTTCTTTCATATTTCGGTTGAAAATAGAAAAACTAAGCGTAGAAAAAAAATAGGGTAAAGTACGTCACGTCGTTTCTTCGGCCTACTATATAGTAAAAATTGCATCTGTCAAGGGGCTTTTTTAAACGACCCCTAAGTTTTTGACTAAAACATACTAAAATCTTTCATGTAAAACGCATGTAATTTTTCATGTAAAACGCTGGTAGCTCACAGTTCTATTCTTGTAATTTAAAAATATCCGCATTATTAATTAGCCAATATTTGTTGTTTATATGAATATCTGCGGTGCCAATATATGCGAGAAACCGTTCAAACTGGACTTACGCTATTTAATCACCGAAAGAGATAATATATAAGACATCAAAGACATAGAAATTGTCCACTTCTATTTTAACAACAACACGAACATTACGAAAATATATATAGTAAATGCGGCTAAGAATATAACTACTGGCCTCGTATTAATGTATATTTTATTGTACATATTTACACACACAAAAATGTTAAAAAAGCATATTTCCCGCTGCTTGTATCCCAGTTGTTTGCGCCGGTTAGAAAGAACTTAATGAGAAGCATGCCGAGAAATTTCTTCAAAATGATTCCAAATATTCTAAGACAGAAAGAATCACAGTTTTCATTATTATCTACAAGAGAAAAATCTATTTTGTTTTTCCAAAAGTCAATAAACACTAGAGCCATGCAGGTGGTTAGCCTAATCACAAATTAAAATCATGGCGGTATAGATAATTTAATAAAATCTAGAATGAAAGGTCTAGTCATATGTAGATTAATTACTCGCACTTGTTATCCATCTCGCCTCTTGCCCCTCTTTTGTCTTCTCTGTGTGACCAAACTTTCATTTAAGCACCGAAAATATTCATCTCAATCAATTTTACCTTTGACGAGCTGCAGATGACGACGCTAGTTGAGTCTCTGATCCAAATGCTTTCAATATTCACGAGTTCTTCAAGTTGTCACTCATGGGACTCACGTTTTTCTAGTGCTTGGCAACGTCTAGCGCTCGTACTCGTCAAAAACTCACCACCACTATCACCACCAGCCTTTGTCACACCTACTTTTACTTTTTTTGTGTTCGTCACATACAGATTATTTTACGAACATTTGATTGCATACACATGTATATCAGAAATAATGTACACATAAATCGAATATTGTACATGGCTGTATGGCAATCGACTGTTAAGCGATAGAAATACCGCTAAGTTCCTAAATCATCGTGGTACATACACTGCTCGGCACATATAGACACATTCGTTAAGCTTGTTACTCGCCTATGCTAAGATTTCGCTACCATCTATTACTAAGCTTAGATAGCGAGCATTCTAACGGCACTAATAGTAAAAGAAGTTTTCAGAACAACTCCTGTTTGAATTCGGAACAGTAAACCCCGCGCCAATACACCTCAATCGCAAAGCGTCGTCGCTCAACGTACGACTCGAAGGTATAATGATACGAAAATGCCGCCGGCATCGATTTAAACCAAATGAAAGCTGCCGATCAAAGAGATGAATAAACGCATTTCTGTTTACCCAATCTCTCTATTACCAGTGAACCCCTGTCTGCCCGACATCGCAGAAAACAACAGCAGTAGCTTTTTGTGCTGCAGCGGGTGCTATGGCACGGCCATCCGCCTAACTCAATGGCAACAATGTTTTTGAACTTGCTTAACCCAATTGTAGCGTTTACGACGACAAACCACAGTTGTTGCCGTTTACTAGTCAAGCGAACTCTGCACAAAGCAGCAGAAGCAAAGGAAGAAGGCAGAGCAAATGAATACATATTTACACACATACATATACAGATCAAAGCATCTGAGCAGATAGACACCCCGCCACGAAACAGTACCACTACAAGACACTAATAACAAGGACTTAACGAGCTAATTAATATACTTTATTTGATCTGAGGACACAAAACTACAACAATAACTGCGGAATACGTCTACTATTGTTCTGTGACTTTAGCCCCTTACGACGCCCCCCCGTGAATATAGTCGTGGTCGTTCTGAGGGATCATCGTTAATGTGCGTGTACGTGTGTGATCATCTGATCGACAAAAACTGAGAGAGAAAAGCTGAGATCTACGTACCCAACTGTGACGCGCTTTTATCTAACGACAACTTGTTTTAGCTTATTGTGTTATTGCTTCAATTAAGCAAGTGCATGCGTGTGATACTAATTAAAGCTAAACTGCTGACGGTCAGGCTGCCAGCAGTCTTCCGAGGCGTAGATATACACAAGAACAAGTTCACGCTCTAGAAATGGTCTCCTTGTTGAGTCTTCCTCTTTTCAATAATGTTTCCATCCCAGTGGGAGGCGTTTCCCCGTACTGGTGTCAGTGTCGTCATACATGTTCCTGATTATTTGTGCCGAAGCTACTGTTAAACTGCTATTACAATTAGCAATAGGTATATATATATATATATATATATATATATATATATATATATAGGTGCATACATACGCATGTAAATGTCTGCTTCGCACTCAGCAGGAAAGAAAAGTCAGTGCCAATAACGACACAAGCATCAACAGTTGATCTCGTCTGGCTGGTTAGTAGCGTATCTATCAGACTGTTTACAGGAGAGCAATGCTGTTAAACATCTGACCTGTCGTTTTCTCTCTCTCACTCGCCTGTACTGTCCATGTTGTACTCGGCGCTGCCTATGTAGACGAATGGAAGAGCTAAACGGAGAAAGCTCAGGGGAAAAATCTGCTGAGGACAGAGGCATCACGCACTTGTCAGATGAACATCATAAAAAAAGGGGCAAGAATAACTGACAGTGAGGAAGACAGATTCGGTGGCAATCCACCAGCAGCGATCAGTAACGCCGTCTTCGTTGCGCTGTACATAGAGCAAATGCCAACTAACTAGAGATTTGCTGTTAATAAAATTGGTGTTCGACCTGCATGTGCCACATGTATATGCTGCTGTCCGAAGTTGTGATGCGTGTCCGTCGGTCTCTTCTGTAATGCGTGCCGGCCAGCTGTTCGCTGTTGTTTTGATCAACGAAAATCTATATTTCGACCGGATACCATCCACTTCGGCATCGTCGATCGTGTCACTTCCAGCAGTGACGACATTAGGAATTGAAGCCTATTTTTCATCCGCTCTCACATCGTTTTTGTTGTCGCAGCAGCTTGCGCCACTGTGCGTGGTATCGTATTTGGCTGTCAGCCGCATGGTGGATTGCCTGGCGAGCGGCAGCAGTAGCGAACGGGTTGTGACGACAATTTGGCAGTAACGACGACTGTGTAGTGTGCACCTGACGACATTGTCATTAGACGGCAGCTACTACCAAAGTTGTCGGTGTCGAACGCCCAAATGAATGATCGACGGTTCAGTTTGTCCATTCGACTATGTCTCTCTCTCTGTATGTGTGTGTTTGTCAAGTGGTTATTAAACTACTAATTCTGCTATCAAAGTTGTTGCTGCTGTAGTGGCTGCTGCTGCTACCGACGCTGGGTCTGCTGGAAACTAGTGGCGGTGGGTAGAAGTTCGGCCCAGTTCCTGGGGCATTACGTCTACAACGAATCGTAAGGCGGTCATAGTGGTTTGTGATTGACTGCCTGGCTAGCTATAGGGGCTGCGGGCGACGCTACTGACTTCTGTCGGGCCACTGCTGTCCCCACTGCTCACATCTTCTACCGTTCAGTGGTTGTCTTTAGGTGGTAGTTTCAGCAACGTATGGCGTGTTAGTACGTGAACGATAAGCGACACCAACGCAACCGCAGCGAAATTGTCGTTGCCTGTGGTCGCGGACCATCGCTTAACGACCGAACAGCAGCTGCGGCGCTAGCTAGCGATGGCTCGAGTCGCTTGTCGCGAGCTCCTTGAGCTCGTGCACAGTCTTCGGCAGGAACAGCTGTTTGTCAGTGCCGAGAAACGGAAGATACACCAGCTCAATGATGAGGTGCGTATAAGCGTCATACGTATATAATATAGCGTTGTATATAATACTCATAATAGTAGAATGTATGATAAAGTTGCTTACTTCTAGTGTATCAATGGTACTGACTAGGAGTGATAGTAATAATAATCTACTCCAGAAAAGGCGCTGTGCCTAGATGACGTAAATATGTAGTTAGGTTATTTGGAAAATATTGTCTGAAAAAATAAGAAACCAATGTGGTAGATCGTGTGGGGATAGAATTTCAATTAATTTGGTTCTCGAGGAATACAAGACTTTTTTAGGTAAAAAATAATACCACTACCAGTGAATGCTCACCATGCATATCAACTATGCAACTATGCAACTAAGCAATTGTTAAACGTGCGTATATGTTAGAATCTGTTTACACGGTTGTCTGAGCAGCTGTCTGAAGCAGCATGGGGGTGTTGCTGTTGCTGTGTTAATCGAGTTGGAGAGCTGTCTAGTACGAAGGCACAGGAAGGAAGTGAGAGAAGGGGAGTGACGGACACTATCGTTCTAAGTGTCATCCTGCGTTGAAGCTATGTAGACGCAGTTTGACGATACTGAGCCTTTTGACCATCTATTTCTATTATTAGGAAATAGATTAGGTGTTGATTTTAAATTGTTATTGGGCCGACTTCTGATCTACCTCAGTGGCTCTGTTTAGGTTGGGCCACCAGAATACAAGATAAATCTTAGAGTTACTCGTAAATATTGTATATGAAGTTTCGAAACAGTAAGCAGTAGCAATTTTACAGTTAATTTACAGCCTAGGAAATGTTTTACCTAACAACAAGTGGACGCATAAACAAGTATGTCGTACCTGCCTAGACATAGTTGCGTAACATATATATCAGTCCGTTTAAACATCACATAAAACGCAGGTACTCTGCTCGTGACGAGTTCTATGCGTGCATAAAGTATGCCGGCCACGAGACGTCAGCCGTCGGCGCAGTGTACGCTTTCGAAATAAGAAAATTATGGATGTAATGCTATGTCGTCGCTTTATTCATATGAGGTGATTCAAAGTAACTGTCATTAACGCTATTAAAATTACGTGCCAATAAATGTATTTTCGAACGAAACCTCTCTTCCATTTCTTGCATTCGCTACTGTGTAGCTTTAAAAATTATTATTATATATGTTGTAAACTACCACCGTTAGGATACATTAAAGAAATTTACCGTGCGAGCTCATCTTAAGTTTCGGCCGAGATGAAATTTGAAATTAAGCTTGAAGGACAAAGGAAGGGGTTAGCATTATCGTCGTAGGCGATCCCCGACGGCATATTTTCTGACGTGTGGTGCTGCTAGGTTTAGAAACTTGTCATTTAATTTAAGAATATTCGAACCTGACATCGTGGTTAGAAAGAGGTCTGTCATCTGAAACAATAAAACGTATTATGTTTTTATAAATTACTAAATGCTTTTCATATTCTAATCAACTTCCTTTAGAACTATTTGATACTTTTCACATGCTGATGAAAAATTTTGCTATAATACGTTAAATAAAGATGAGTAAGAATAACTTTTTGTTACTTAGGCTTGAAAGTATTTTTAGAACATGTGTAACATGCTACCAAATCAATTCGTTCCCTTCACTGAGTTGATATGAATATTATATAGGCATCTGCTAATGAATAAAGATAAAAAAACAACCTATTAAAATATTACTACTTTCGTAACAATAAAAGCCGCCCTGCATATAAAATTGGTTTGATTGAAAGGTCAGTTAAGATATATATAATATATATACATATATATAAGTATTGGTTAACCTGCTAGTGTAATTGAGGGATAAATTTATTGTGATATAATGATACAGGCTTCATTTGATAGTGCTTCTGCTAAGGAAGCGTGTTTGATCGGTAGTGAGTGAAGAATTCTTGGTGTATTTCCTTGTGCTTAGAATCCACATCGTTTCATATGTATGTCTTCCAGACATGTCAATTTTCGACTGCTAACGGAATCACTAGCTATTTGTGGCATAAACAAGTTGGAATTCTGTGACAAGGTTTTAGTACGATTCAACATTATGTCAATACACTGAAATGAGCTGAGTCACATTTAATATGTTGCCGATTTCTACATACGTCTGGATGGATAACTGCAGCTTCGCTAAATCGGCTATAAATTGGGCGTAAGGAAGATATATTTCTACAGAACTAAGGAAATCGATCTTCCGAGCGGGAGACCAATCAGGAAAATCATTGCAAGACCCTTTGGTTCTATCCACCGTAATCCCCTACCGTAAAAGCTAGTTGTAATTTGAGCCTATGCACAAGTGCCATTCATTAATAAATGTCTTCACGTAAAATCTTATTAAAAAGGAATCCGCAGAATATACTTGGTCAGCAAAATTAGTTAATTTTTTGTGAATCTGGCGGGCACGGAAGGAGCTTCAACAGTACAACAAGCCACTTGATGTTTAAACACTACACAGGTTTCAAAAGATTTTCTATTCTTCACGATGAACTATACAAGTCACATAAATACATGCTTTGTATGAAGAAAAACGGTTGTAAAGAATCTAGTGTTCACATACAGGTTATGTTAAGCTACCTGTTTAAAAGTAAGCAAACGGTCTAGCCGAACGACGTAATAACCCCAACTATGACGTCATTAGTTCAAAAAAGGTTTCGGGAGATTCGGCAGTACCTTAATACCGGAATTGCAAAGCTTACGGTTTGTGTACTCGACAAATTTGACAACTTGCAGGTGCGGCGATGTTCAGACCGCTTATTCGAACGAGCATGGACCGCTCGGCATCAACGGATCAACCTGGATCGATACATACTCAGTATGCAAGACATTCAGAGTGCTCATCGAAAGGCGGTGCAACTCGACGGAGTGCACTTTGTTGACTCCTACAAACGGTTAGGCAATGCTGATCCACCGGTCAGTGACCTAATCAAGGCCCTACGAGAGAATCCCAAATTGCTTGCGCTCTTTCTCGACCGTTGCGAACAAATTAAAGTCAGGTAAGCCTAGATGATATTAAAACAATTAGGATTTCTCATAAATGTTGAGATTAAAAAGATACATGTGTTGATAAGTAAGCATTAGCTTTGCAGAAAGATCCTTACTAGTCCCTTTCAATTGTAATGTTTGTTATACTGATGTTGTCAATTTATGCTTAGGTACATGTTAAACCTGTAGTTTACTACAATTTGACCAGAGAGAACAATGTAATGGAGCCGAACGAAGACCATTTACGTAAATGTATGTCGCTCATGAAATAATCTGCAGTGGGTCGAGGTTCAAACGCTTAGGCTTTTCACGGAAACGTTTATTGTGATTTGTTTAACCCAATGACCACCAACGACCATCAAAGGTCTATGTAGTCCTGGCAATTAACGTTACGTCTTGGTAATGATAATGGGTCACAGACCTATTTTCAGACTATGGTACCAGCCAGCTAGCTAAATTTAATTCGTGAATGAGAAAGTCTGCATCGAAGACTGACAGTCTAATCTCTAAATCCTAAGGTGTGAGTAATTTGAACTATTTGAGCAATAATATTTTGCGTGTAAATGCGTGAATAAGTGCCCGAGCAATGTGCACAAAACTCTATATATCGGAACTGTTTCTTAAAAAATATGTTACAGTCTAAATTTAGGACTAAATTTTATATTAACTGAAGGATACCCATCTCCGCCTTGAGTGACTTAGGAAAAGGCTTCTTGTGAATCGGCGCAGACCTTCAGTAGCAAAATTGGCTTATTATTTCGCTTGCAACTTTAGAAATCGTTTTTTACCAAGTACCTTAAAACACTTGAACAACGGTAAAATGATGGATGACACGTTATGCACGAGTGGTACGCGCGTTCAAAGCCGAAGAGGTCCTCCTTTGTTGATACTCATCTTCGGACTCTGTTGCCGAAGAATGCACTGACATATTCCTTAACAATAATGAATAATCCTATTGAGGCTTTCATCTTTCACGGAAAATTTCATAAGCGTTGTCCTCATGAGATCTAATTAATGTTTACTAAGTTGATGATATGAATTATGTCTACATTATTTTTATTCGGTATTGCAAAATATGCTTGCAATTTTTTTCTAATCGCATATGCATATCTGCGAGAACTATTATTCAGATGTATAAAAGTACAAAAACGTATACATCATGTAGGGTAAATCGCGTAGCTCCACTGTTCCGTAGAATCTCACAGAAGTGTCGATCTGTGATTTCATGTGTTCTCTACGATGCGCCTGGTGCAACAGAGGATTACAATTATGCTTTGCCAAGGTTATTTGGCCATAGGGAACGAACCTCAGCACTAAAGAAAATAAAGAAGACGACGTGTAATCATGCTTATTTGTATTTTAGTGCCCCAACTTTGCAACATCTGATCAGTGGAGTGATGATCTCTCTGTATGGAGCTTGCCTGCTTTCTGAAGACAACAATTATGCTCTTGTACTTCTTTATGAGCTCATGCACCTCCAACTGCCCAGGTGGGTATCTTTCTTGCTATTTCGCTTGGTGTACTAATTTGGCACTGATTAAAATGTAATTTTAACGTCCAGGTGTTGCCCCTGAAATTAGACTAGACGTACTAGCCAGTTTTCTAGCAAATTTGAAAGTCGTAATGTCCAGAAACAATAAGGTCATCAGAATTCCGTCTAATAAATTTCCGATTCTATTACAGATTATTTTTAACCCTATATTCTTATTATAGGACGGATCAGCTCCGCCGCCTTCTTCAAAATGGCTCGTGCACATTCAGTCGTTGTTATAAAGCGTTTGTTGAGGCACACCTACCCGCCAAACTATTTCTCACCTCAGCTCTCAGAAATGCCATCATTCAGGTACATCCCTATTTTACTTAGAAAATTATATAGCGAGGCGCAATCTGATATACGCAATGAAGCAGTTTACCCAGTCAAAAATTTAGAATAGGTAGGACGACTAAGTAATTCATTCAAGACAAAATTAGTGAAAACGACTTTACACGGTGAACTTTGGCTTGTTCTGGAACAAAAAAGTGGACCATAGCTCATAGATTAGATAGATAGAAAGATAGATTTATCTATCCTTTAGCCTGAATCTGACGCAGTACACCTGAGTAGCTGTGTATTCATAAAACAAATTTATATTCTATATATATGTTTATTACTGAATAGGTGCTTGTAAATGACGACCTCTACCTAGATATTGAACCAAATAGCGCAGTGGTACGATTCGCCCCTGAAGAACGAATGCGTCATTTCGGCCCAGAAGGTACACCACAGTATGAGTCCAGCCTCCGTACCTATCGTGCTTGGTCAATAAGGTAAGTGTATTTGAAAATAGCAAGCCAAACTTAGCCGAATCTTTCGTTTAAGAAATCCTTCGTTCATGTGGCTATAATAAAACGTGATGGGTTATTAGACTTTCAAGACCCAAATAGCCTAACGCTGATATTTTTTACGTTGCACTATTGTAAACAAATTATGTTATATGTGAAATGTTTTTTTAGGAAATTGACCGCTTTGGCACAGCTGTTCCTTGACGGAATATCCGAGTCAATGTTCTGCTTTCCTCCAGCACTGGCATGGCTTGTCCGCCAATTCTACGGGATCATTCTTGACGAAAACAAGATTGAGCCACGACAGATCGCTGTCATCTGTGCCGACCTCGTCTTTTACTTTTTTATTTGTCCGGCTATCGTTAACCCGGAACTGTACGGGGTTATTGAGGAGGGACTGCATATCGGGCAGTGTGCACGTTTCAACCTGATCCAGGTTGCACGAATTATTCAGGTGTTGGCTATGGCTCGTTACGAACCCATCGACGAACGACTGGAGGAGGTGTATCGACACTTCGACAAAGAGCTTCTGCCCAACATTCTTGAAGAGATTATTCGAGGCAGTCAGCAGACGGACCTACTAAGTGACTTGCTAAATGGGTCAGCCGTCAACACCGATCCATCCGTAAATACGCAGGACAACAGTGGTCCATTGACAAGGTAAACATTTACAATACATGCAATTAGCGGCACAAGTCGTTGGGAAAATGCCTAGCTATACACTTCTCTATAAGGTAACTATGGCAACATAGCAACATTCTTTTTGGGAGCGGATGAAATAATAGCATTAGTAGATACAACAGAGTAACTGATACTCAAAACCTAGTTGAAGAACATACCTATAAATTAGGCATTTAGTTTCATGACACATTAAGAACAATGCTATTCCCGTAACAAGACACAGTTCGTGTTGAAATTAGAACTTTATTCATTTTTTTTCCTGATGTACAGGAATGCCGTTCTTATAAGTACAGCCGAGCTGCAAGATTTAGTGTCAACCCTTCATCAAGTTTTGGATTTAGAGAGTAACGGCTCATTGCTCCGCGAATGGCTACAGCCTATTATGGAGCACGTGCCTACACATTTACCTTTAAATATTCAAGGAACGAACAATCACAATGGTCACTCGATGGAGGATGGAACACTCAAGATGGCTCTGATGACGAAGGTCAGCAGAATGCGTAATCCTGGACAGAGAGGTTCTCAACACGCGATTGCTCTGGACGGTTCATCGAATGAGACTGCTGATGAATTTTCAGCCAAAGACAGTAATGATGTTATTACCGAAGTTCTCGTCGTGTCCTTACCAAACCCAGGTCGACGAGAATTCCCTGGCGCCATGCCTGAAGAAAAGGTCCTCAGTCTTGAGCAAAGCAAGCGCAGCGCTACAAAGGTTCGCCTAAACCTTGACAACCTAGAAGAAAAATCCTCAACAGGCTCAGGAAAACGGACACGCTTCTTCGGGGATCAGGAGTCAATTGCCGGAGCGAGTGACAACCTGGAAGCAGGCCTGTCAGAGGCAGCAAGCGTGGCATCATCCCTTGATATCGAGGAAAATGCTGACAACTTGTCTGATATGGTATCCGCTAACGTTAGTGGGCCGGGAACGCCCTCAGTTAGCGGGCGCGATACCCCGTCATCGCACGGTGCTGCGCCGGTGCCTCCCCATCCGGCACAAATTGCCGAGCAGCTTCAATTGCTACAGGGTGGGGGTAACCAAGCGGAACAGCCGCAGCTAGCAGTCCAGGCTCAGATACCTACACCAGCCAACATTCCCTCCCGACGTCGTGCCCCTCCACGTCCCGAAGCTCAGAAACAGATGGACATCGAAGACCGCTTTGGACGTTTTGGCATCAGCAACGGCTCTGGAATCGGTTCATCGGTAGCTGAAGAAGAGACAAAGTCGATGGTATCCGACACATGGAGCACCGATGTTCTTGGTAGCGACTCCGAGGCGCACTATGGAAGTGGGGCGGGCGGTGGAGTACCCTCCGCACACGAACAACAGTTACATATTGAGTCTCACCTGAATGCGATGCAGCAGCACATCCATGGGCATCTTTCTCAGCATAACGTCAATGCAATGCAACAACAACAACAGCAATTAATCGAGCTAAGTGAGACACAATCAGATGCATGGAGTACAGCGGCAATGACGTCCTACTCGGATCTCGACCGTCTTCAAGAGGTCGATCCCGAAGATGACTTGTTAATGATGATGCCCTCTGAACGACGCCGCTCCGCCGAAGATGTTGGAGCATCAATGGACGTCGGGCCAGGCGAGCCAGAAAACGGAGCAGGCATGTTTGTTGGACGGGTTGTAAGGGATAATGTAGGGAATGGAGGGGGCTGTGCTGATCGGCAATCGACGCCCACGAATTTAATCAAGCTCAATTCAAATGATGGAGATGAACCTCCGCCACTCATTGATGTAGGCGATAATGCCTCAGCGGTACGATTACGAGGAGCCAATTCACGGCAACAAGCCCTATCTGGAGTGTCTGCCGATACACCTCTAGTTGAGACTGATCCACCCCAACAAGGTTAGTGAAATTGTACAATGTGATATGCACTTTTATTTGTTAATGCTAGAAAAGTGTAACAAAGATGCTAGAACAGTTAAGAAACTCAGTCATAAATCTGCAATTATTTAGAACTTCGCATTATATTACATCTAGGTTTTGTTTTGGACCCTATTCTAGGTCCCATAACCCAAGAAATAGCGTAGACTACTCTCTATTTACAGATGACTTATTATCGGGAGCATTTGCTCACAGTTTGTCGAACGGGTCGGTTGCGTCTTTTGGAAGCTCCACACCGTTTGGAAGTGTCATTGAGGCTGCAGCTCAGGGTAGCCAGAGTTTGGGTAGGCTAAGTTTCGCTATGAAAGAACATTCGCCGTCCCGGGAAAACCTTCTTGACCGAGATCTCACGGTTAGTTAAATTTCGTCTATCTTCAAAGGCTCGTTTCTCAATGCAGGCTGGTGTAATTCTCATCGATGCGGCTTGTAGTTTTAATCAAGCTGCTTGTGGCGTATTGTAGAATTTTAGGTTTGAGTTAACCCAGTTTCTAAAAACGATTTTTAATTTACAAAATGTTAGTGATATGAAATATAAATACATTTTTAACTCAACTTGTGTATACATTTAGTGTTGATTAGATAATCTTTTCTTGGTAAACGAATCGAGGACCCATAATAAAGTTACACAATAGCTCCAAAACATTCTTAGTCTACTTATCCTATAGATTAGTCTAAAGTCGTCAACGTTTTCTTAGCAGTTCAACAACGGCTCGGTCTTGGACAATGGAAGTTCGGTTGTGGCGGTAGCTCTCCCTGTCAAGCCACAAGGAAGCGCCGACAGCTCCGACGGGAACTCCGAGAGCAGTTCGGATCTTCTAGGCGGAATAGCTGGACCTGTGGGTGCTGGCGTAGTAAGCGGACGAAGCAGTGGGCCTGGATCAGCCGGTGACGACAGCGAGCGGCAGGTGCAAATGCGCAGCGGGGCCATCCCAAAAACACCGCGAATCCAGCTTCAGCAGCAGCAGGTATGGATGAACTCGTTTCCTACGAAGCATGTCATCAAGCGCGGGTACCATAATCATTGTAGGTCAAACTTCGCAAACCAAAGTGTACTCATGGATTCACGACGGTTTCAGATTTCTAGTTCTGATCGAGCATCTGGAGGTGGTTCTGGTGCCCGCCACAACCGTCAATCAGGTGGAAGCGGCCAACGAGGCTTCCTCAGGAAATTCGGGAATATCAAACAGAGTATCTCATCTAAAGTAAAAACTCTAGATCGAAATTCGGGCTTCCGAAGATTCACACCAGACTTAGATAATGGCGGTACAATTCATGATGAAGCCGGACCTTTAGGAGCGGATCATCAAATTGTAGGAGCTATGCCAACGCCTACCGTGCAGTGTAAGTTATGAGTTCGCACGTAGCTTTCTAAAACAGCTTTTCTGCTTCCCCGAAAACTTTTTGATATGGTCTAATCTGGATCACTTTATAATATACACGGTTACAACTCTCCTCGAGTTTAGTTTACCTCTTCAAAAGCCAGAAAGCTTACAAAGCTGTAAAATCAAATCGTATATTTACATTATTGTAGTCATGGACGCATCAGAAATTCTTGAAAAATACCGAGGGAAGAATCGAGGCGATGCTGAGGCGCCAGGTGGCGGGCTTATGGCCGATAACGCCTCGTCTGTGTCTGGTGGTGATTTGCTGGAATTGGATGAAAGCGAGGCGTCTGAGCAAAGTCCTGAGGAAGTAGCATTTCTTGACGCAAAACGAAAACTTAGGACAGTCTTTGCTAATGGCAACATACAGGTAAGTCGAAATCAAATTTTGCCCAGTTTTGTTAGCTACGGGTAAAGTAATATTTTAGAGAAAACGCTTCATTTCGTATAACCGAACGTTTGTTTAGTATATGTGCACGATATTATAACCTACTGCGCCACCGAGCCCTGGATTTATGCTATCAATTACAATTTCGTATCTATAGACCCTTCACTTGGACCGTTCTCGCGTCGAGTTGCTCCTGCTGCTTAAGATGATGCTGGCGGAGTCCGTCGGCCTACAGAATCACCAGCAGACTGCGCAGTTGCATGAAGCGATCCGTTGCGTATCAAAGCTTGACTCTTCGATGTAAGTTAACCAGGCTAAGTGTAAAAATATTTAATCAAACTTTTACCGAAATATTAGTTCGTATGTTATTGGACTGCTACTATCTAATGCACTTGGCTTATTTTTTTATCCTGCGAAATTAGTCGCAAATAATTTTTAGTAAGTAAATATCAAAGTGTATTTTTTTCAGCCTGATATTGTTTTGCAAACCATGAATTATTTTAGTGAGTCAGTTGGAAACATATAGGTGAATTAAAGTCGAAATGAAGCAATGACGTTCGCATGGTCATAACCTCGAATTGATATTTTCAGTCACATTTTAACTGGTGAATATTGACGCGTTCATTCCCGTTTTTCTTAGGCAAGAACGGGTGCTCTACGCTATGCGTGAAGACTATCGCCAGAGAGCGGCGTACGTTTCCTATCTTGTTCGAGCACGCCAGGGGCTTGAAAGCACTTTAGCAGGACTGCAGACCTTATTGTCACACGTCAAAAAAGACAAAAGTGTATCGCATGGATATCTAACGGCGCAATGCGTCCTGGAGTTTTTGCAGATCGTTCGACGGAAGGAGATCGGCCTCAGTTTAGAAGGGCTCGTCTTTGAGTTTAAGGATCTAGATGTGTCCGACGAAAAGGCAGTCTTGGTTGAAAAATATTTGGAAAGGCTGTACAAGGAAATGAGCGCACATCCTCTTTGGCACGGTAGGTAAATTATCGTGGATTTTTAATAAGCTTATATCTACAGGGGCTAACTTAAAAGAGAGCGTTTTTTTTTGTAAATCTAAATACATTGATAAAGTTATGATCTATCTTACTAGTATTTGGTTAAACTAAACAGCAAGTGAAGTTGGTGTTAAATCATAAGTACGATTCGAATTTAATATTTTGTACTATCTGTGGGTACATTTGATTTACATACATCTAGAGGCTATCTTTATTGAAAAATCCTGTTTATTACAGCGAGCACTGAAGAGTATTTAGCATTATCGGAATCCACTCTAGAGCGTCTGGTGATGGGCAAATTGTACCTGCATGCACTTTTCCCCAACGGCGATATTGACCTTCATCGCGACCAGGTTCTCACAGCGCATATGCGAAAGCTGGCTCAAGTAATTACGCCGCAGCACCGGGCACTTCGAATTCCACGGGGATATCTTCTCGAGTGTCCTTGGCCTTCGGCACAGGCTGCCATTGCTACACTCAATGCATACAAAGTATGGTTTACAGCTTGTGTTGTTGTAAAGCTTTATTCGTTTTATTTTTCAAAGTTCTGGAACCTTTCCAATACAGCTAATAAAACATACTTTACTTTAACGTAGCGGATAAAATTATAATTAAATACACACGATAAACAAGAACAAAAAGTCCCAAACTAGAGCCGTCTGATGAAATTTGTTTAGCAATAACATGCTAGCAGGTATATCTAACAAACTTTGTTTGTCCATTATTTGCTGTGATGCGATTTTCAGGCTCCCAGAGACAAATTAAGTTGTGTATTTTTGTGCTGCAAGACCATCCTTGACCTTCTTCACTTGGCGAGTAGTTCGGCAGCCGCAGCCGATGACCTCTTCCCTATTCTCGTCTACGTGCTCATTCAAGCAAACCCTCAGTACCTGCTATCGAACATCGAGTACGTAAAACACTTTTGTTCTGGCTATCAAGACGGCGAAGCTGGTTACTATTGGACTATGCTTGACAGTGCTGTTGTCTTCATCAAGAGTTTGGAGTATAACTAATTATATATTAGTGATATTCCAAAGGTACATATATATTTATACATACTAAAAATTAGTAATTCCGGCAATTTATGCTGTATGGTCACATAGCCGTGTATGATAATGATAACATCGTTCTATGGAGAAAAAAATATCAAACGAACTTTTCTTTTACCAATGTCGTAAACGGATGAAATAGAATGGACGTTAAGCAATCACTGCGGCCGAATATAACAGCAAAAGAACAACAACGAGTAAACCAAATAAGGAAAGCTGCAATTTTTCGACGAAAGACGAAGACTAATAGGCAAATAGTACAATTATAATAGCTTGAAACGTGTGCAAGCAAACGTCTGTAACAGATTGTGTCTATTGTAAAGTACTCTTCGTCGAGCCGACTACGATGCAACCAGGATTTTAGAACCTTCCGTGGGGTTGTGATGGTCATCTTAATGATTGCCAACCAGGGAATAATGATCATTATCGTGATGATTAAAAACTAGAAGAAGGAGTGGGACTCGAGAGAATGTACTCGTTGGTGATAAATAGATTCTACTGAAGGTGCAAAATCATGAGCATTTGCCGCACAAGTGTCGACTTCTTGTCATCACAGAGTAGGTAGCCATCACAGTATAATAGTGAACGCCTGCGCCAGTGTATAAGCCGACAGTTATTTAATGTTTATTATTGAGGAAAAAACCGGTTAAATTATAAAGCGCTGGGGAACCAACCCCATCAGACAAGAGGAAGCTCTTTTCAGCCGTGCCAGGTGGGAACATTTGAGAATGCTTATTCGAAATTGCAAAGATGCTTCATGAAACATTGTTTATAATTGATTAGTGATACTGATGGTCTGGGAAAGTGCCGACCGGTTCATAATGCACGGATCGAACAATATACGTCTGGAATGGAAATGCAACAATGACGAGGTAGAGTCTGTTATAGGCATCTTTTTCACATTACAACTTTGGGTGATATATACAGAGGAATATATAAATATACATATATTAAGATATATAAAATTCCCATAAATATATACGTAAATACAGATTTAAAAAAAACAGCTGCATAGATTTAGGCCAATAAAAGTGGTATCTGGCCAATATTCTCCAAGTCTGTTGGGAAGATATATTAAAATGTAAACAAGTGTTGTCATTGAAGATAGGTGGATCGTATATATCAGCCAAGTATCCAATAACAACGATTTAAGCTTTGTGAAGCTTATGGCACTCAAAGGGTGGAAGAGGGCCACGATAACTCTAGATAGTATATTCTGGGTAATGTCAAGTGATTAGATATAAAAGAATGCTTGATAATAAATTCAAAGCACGCTCACTTTAGAATAATAATATCCACACATCGATGCCCACATGTTCACCCTTAAGTCCCAACTGTTGAATAGGGCAAACAGAAAAAGACGAGCTATAAAATAATCAGCACTCATGTATACGTATCTTGCTTGACAAGTTTTATCATGGTCAAACTGAACTGTTTGTCAAATCTTTTTAGTCGAGCGTGATTAACTTCAAAGCATATGAAGGCCCGAAGAAACTATGTTTCTGATGTGATCAAGAAAGAGATACAGCAACAAGTATCGTTTACAAGCTGAAACAAATATGAATGGAAAACATACTATGAACAATTTTTTTTGCTTCATCATACGCAACGTTTAGCGAAAAAGGGATATATAAAATAAGCAAAGTAACGAACTACTTTACATGTACAAGCAAAAGCGTAGAATAATTCCAGTGCTATAAACATACCATACTAACGTGTGTCTTAAAGGAAGACCTCGAGCTTCGAAAAAGGCAAATTTCGATAAAATATGACGGTCTGAGAGGGACTGAAAATATATTAAAACAATATACTAGAATGTTACTGTATGGGTGAAGAATGAGTAACGGAATAGAAGCTTTACTAAATGAAACAAGAGAGGTGACGCTACTAGGTGTAAATGTAT